GGCAAGGGCGGCCAGGAAGAAGGGCGGCCCCCCCCGGGGCCCAGGGAAGGACGGGACTCAAAGGGCCAAGAGCGCAGTGGGGGTCGCACCCTTCCGCTCCAGCTTAGTACCTGACGCTGCCGCCGCGCTGCGGCAGCCGCGCCCCCCGCGCAGGCCGGTCTCACGCAGGTGCGGCCCTGGCGCTGGCGCATCGGCCTCGCCCTGGCCTGGGCCCCTGCAGCCCTCCTCCACTCGCTGCCGCCGCTGCGGCGCATTCCAGGAGGCGCGCCTCCCAGGGCGTGAGGCCCGCGGCCGGGGCAGGTGCCTGGGGCTGCGGCTGGCGCCCGAGGGCCGCTGCGGCCCTCTGGCAGAACCCGAGGAGGCGGCCCCAGAGCTCCTGGGACGGACTTCGGGGAGCGAGGCGCCGCCCACGCTGTGTTCGAGCGCCGTGGGCCCAGCTCCCGCTGCGCGTGCCAGCGCCTCCTGTTGGGCCAGGGCTGCGCGCCATGACCGCTCCTGGGCGTGCGCCGCCGCGCGGACCTGGCCGCGGTACTGCTCGCCGGCACCCGACCCCGCGTGGGGCCCCAGCGGGCTGGGGAGACGCCACCGGGCGAGCATTTGCTGGACGTGCTGCGCCCAATACCCCGCGACGTGCTCCGCCAGCGCGAGGACCTCCCAAGCCTCGAGGTATCTGGGGTCCGCCTGGACCCTGCCGTGCAAGCGGCTCGCGCGCTCCTCCATTGTGGTGGACCACCGGAACGCCCAGGGCGCCCCTCCTCCTCCTCCTCCTCCTCTTCTTCCTCCTCCTCCTCCTCCTCCTCCTCCTCCTCCTCCTCCTCCTCCTCCTCCTCCCCATCTTCGTCGTCCTCCTCCTCCTCCTCCTCCTCCTCATCCTGCTCCTCGTCCTCCTCGTCCTCGTCCTCGTCCTCGTCCTCGTCCTCGTCCTCGTCCTCGTCCTCGTCCTCGTCCTCGTCGTCCTCGTCCTCGTCCTCGTCCTCGTCCTCGTCCTCGTCCTCGTCCTCGTCCTCGTCCTCGTCCTCTCCTCCTCCTCCTCCTCCTCCTCCTCCTCCTCCTCCTCCTCCTCATCCTCATCCTCATCCTCATCCTCATCATCCTCATCATCCTCATCATCCTCATCCTCATCCTCATCCTCATCCTCATCCTCATCCTCATCATCATCATCCATCATCATCATCATCATCATCATCATCATCATCATCATCATCATCATCATCATCATCATCATCATCATCATCATCATCATCATCATCATCATCATCATCATCATCATCCTGCTCCTCGTCCTCCTCCCCCCTCCCCCATTATGATGTGCACCCTGAAACTCGGCAGCAATTCTTTGCCTTTGGTGCTGTCGTACATTGCGTTGCATTGCCTTGAACTGCGTTCCACGTCCTCCTTCCGCCCCCCTCCTCTCCCTTCTCGTTCGTCCTCCACCTCCTCCTCGCTCGTCTCCGTCCTCCTCGTCCTCCTTCCGATCCTCCCACCTCCCCCTCCTCCCATGCCTCCTCCCATGCCTCCTCCCATGCCTCCTCCTCCTCCTCCTCCTTCTCCTCATCCTCCTCCTCGCGTGCCCTCCCACGCCTCATACATACCCTCCTCAACTCCCTCCTCCCTTCTCCCGTCCTCCCCCCTGCTTCCTGCCTCCTCCCTCCTCCCTCCCTCCCTTATTCCCTCCCTCCCTCCCTCCCTCCCTCCCTGACGCCATTCTTTCGCTGTGTGAACCTCTGTCATGTTGTGTGCGTCCTACGCCGCGCCCAACGCTACACTCATAGATTCCACACGCTGCGCGTGGCCTGACAATGGGCACCCATCGGCTAGCTGTGGCAATATGATGCTTTGTTCGTATATTCAATACGCTGCGCGGCCTATGCCCGCTGTTTGCTCGCTGGAGATTTCGATGTTGTCTCACTCTTTCATTGTGTGTGATTCAGGTGTTGTTGAGTTCGTGCTCAGCTTCGACATGGTCAACGCAGCACCTACGCAGCACCTACGCCAGCACCTACGTAGCACTACGCCAGCACTTGCCATATTCTGTTGAGTTCGTGGTCCACAGTAATATATTATCCACGCTACGCGTGCCCTGGCGACCGAGGGTCTGTCCATGATGTCTTGTGAGTTCGGCCAGGCCTGTCTGAGTGTGTTTTGTGCTTGTTGTGTGCGAGCCGACCTACGCCAGCCGTCTCTGCTATTCCCTTTTCTATATTTTTACAATCCGGGGGGGGGACCCCCCCCCCCGGAAAATCGGACCCCCGGGATCTGGCGCTTTTGGGGCCCCCTGGACGCCTTGCAATGGGTCCCCCGGGCCTTCCGGGCCTCCTGGACGCCCCTGCCGGGCCTTGCCAGCGGGCCCAAAGCGGTCAGGAGGGCGGCCAAACGGCCCCGCGAGAGCCCCACGCGGCCCCAGACAGCCCCAAGACGCCCGAAGACGACTCAAAGAAGACCCCCAAGAGGTCCTCCAAGTGCAAAAAACAACACTTTCCTTTAGTTTTTTTATTGAATTTTTGGACATTCGGTTCTTCGGTATTCCGTGCGTCCGAGTCCGCCGAAGAGGCCCCAAAAATCCTCCCACAACGGTGTCAAAGGGCTTCCAGACAGTCCAAAAGAGCCCCAATATGGTCCAACAGGGCCGCAAGATGGCCCCAAGAGAGCCCCGCTGACAGCCCCAGATGGCCCCAAGACGCCTCCCGAAGCACTCCAAATCGTGACCCGGTCGTTCAGGGAGACCGTGGTTGGTAGCAAGGTGGCCGCAAGAAGCCCCCAGAGGCCCCCAAAAGGCGCCCAGGAGGCCCCCAGAGGTCCCCAAAAAGCTTTTGAGAGGGGCCCAAGAACACCTCCAAAGAGGAGCCCCTGCAATAAAAACTGGGGATGAGGACAAGGAGTGGCTCGCAGACAAGGAAGATTACGAGTAAGAGGAGAGGAATATAAGGATAATACATAACATTACTATAACGACGATGGCGCAAACGGCAACAATGAATCATCGCTATATTTGGTTATCCTGCATGCCGAGCTTTAAGAACCAAGGTGCATGGCGCGAAGCGCCACTGCAGTCTTGTATATATATATATACATATATATATATATGTTTTCCACGCGCTTCGCGTGGCACAACGGCTGAGGCGCTCGCTCGCTGGCAGCTTGTTATGGCCTCATGCTACCACAGCGTGAGGTATCAGATGCTTGTTGTGTTCGCGACCGCCACGACTCGGCCGACGCAGCACAGATATCTGTCGGTGGTGGCAGCGACGTGGGCCTACCTGGCCCGACTCTGACACCACGGTCTGAGTCTGCGGTCCGCGGGTCGCCTATTGCAGGTTGCCCGCGCCCGCCGTCGCTGCCCCTGCTCCCCCCCCGCTCCTGCCCCTCCCCTCCCTAGGTCGCTGACCTATAGGAAACCCTGGGACAAAAATCCCTCCCTCCCTCCCTCCCTCCCTCTCCTCCTCCTCCACCTCCTCCTCCTCCTCCTCCTCCTCCTCCTCCTCCTCCTCCTCCTC